GTTCATTTCTCTTAGTTGCTAGATAATATTCTACAGTATTAATATACCATTTAAAATGTATCAGTTCCCTTAAAGATAAAGACTTGAATTTCTCCTGCTTTCTATTACAATGTTTCAATGACCAAGAGATTCTTGTACCTGTCTCCCAGTGCACATGTGCAACAATTTCTAGAATCTACCAAGTATAACTAGAAGTGGAATTGTTGGGTTGAAGGGTATAAACAATAAAAAATTTACAGGTATTTTCAATGTGTATGCCATAGAAGGGTGTATTCATTTAGATCCCTCTGATGGAATGAGCCATCTACTTGTCCACAGTTGATACTGTCACACTTTCCAGTTTTTTTTAATCTGTAGAGTGATTTGCTTTGCTTTGTCACCCATAAAGTCAAACATGGCTTCATATGTTTGTTAAACACTCAGTTTTCAGCTACATGTGCAGTTCCTAGACAGAGAAAATTTAAAAGAAATTTTAAAACCAGCTATCAAAAAACAATCATACTCAATTTGGCATATAGATAGCTAATATTTAAATTAGTATCTTAAATCTCTTTTCGTGTTAGTGCATCATGAAATCTTTTTTAATTTTTGTGCATCACAGGGAATAAGCTGCTTTAATTATTCTTAATGCAAACAAAAATATGCCTCTTAGATATAATAGCAAAACAAATATCTTCAGTGCTCAACCCAATGTTTGGCAAATAGTAGGTGCCCAATAAATTCCTGATGAATGAATAAATAAAAAGAGTAAGGCAAAAGGTTATTTCAGAAGGGGAATTCAGAAATAGTGCTCTGCTAATGATAAAACTATACAGTAAAAAAGTTTTTAAAAATACAGTAAATACATCTTTCTACTAATCACATTATGTCTTAAAAGTGCCTTAGATGATCATTCTACTTCCAGGTTCAATATCAAGAGCCTCTAATACTAATGTCTTAACCAAGGTGACTTTTAGATGAAATTCACCATCAAAGACTATACACAGGCTTCTCTGCCCTCCCTCTAATGTTGTGTCCTGGTTTGGACTACAAATAAAACAAAGATCATTAATTGAATACAGTTGTAGCAGCCCTGAGTTTTCAGCTTAAAAAGTAACATACAAGGATTCTTAAAATGTCAAGAAACTGCTTTGACTCTGTTTTTGCTCAGTTGACTTGAATTTTGGGTGTAAATACCTGTTGTCGTTTTTTTCGAAGATTCCAAAATATACTCCTCCTAAAAATCACTCTCCAGCCATATTAAGCTTAATTGTTGCTATCTAATCGTTTAGCTATTAAATGAGCCTTTTCTAAGCTATCATTATTTTATTAACAGTAACATTTAATATCTATAGTAATGGAAATTCAGGATATGCTAACTGCAATTTCCTAATGCAGTACCTAGCTTTTCCTTATAAAACAAAACAGAAAAGTAGCCCATCTGAGAAACTCCACACCTTGACCATTTCGCCTTGCAATATGTATTCCTGACTCCCTCTTTTCTGTTGACACCCTTGCAAAATCGACAAGGTGGTCCATTATTAATGCTCTCTGCTTGGAAAATAGTTGGGGTTATAGTAAAGCTGATCATCATATAGCTTTACAAATACTAAATAACAAATACTAAAACTGCTCCTGCCCTACTTCCCAGATATTTCCCAGTGGTGCTTATGGTGAAAGAGAGGGGCGTCACAGCAAATGCAAGAGAAATGAAAGAAAGTTCCTGTCTTCAGGAAAGCAGCTGACAAAAATATCGTACCTTTTATGATAGAGGACAGCATTTTTATACTGGTGTGCCAAGGACTGCTTCCTTGGTCCAATGGGATTAGGAAAAACATGTTAATGTATTAACATTAGTATTAATACAGTAAATCCACACTTACTGTCAGTAGGTATTTGGAATTGTGGTAAAACAATGTATATAAGGAAACCCATTTTACCGTAGACTAATTGATACAGAGTTAAGTTCCTCAGGCATTTCATCAATGTTATAATAAAATGACATTGGCCCTGGCCAGTTTGTTCAGTGGTTAGAGCATCAGCATGCAGACCAGAGACTCCGGGCTTTAGTTGCTCTAAGGGCACGTACCTCGGTTGCAGTTTGTCCACAGCCCTGGTTGGGGTCTTGTGGGTGGTGACCACTCGATGTGTCTCTCTCACGTAGATGTTTCTCTCTTTCTCTTCCTCCCTCTCTCCTTCCCGTTCTATCTGAAGATAAGTACAAAAATGTCCTCGGGTGAGGATCAAAAAAAAGAGACATTGAACAAAACAATGTTATTCAAGGAACTGCTGTATATTAACATTAATGTCAATGTATTTAACACTAAATATTAATATTTAATATTGGCATAGTAACATTAATATTAACATAATAAATAAAGCCTTTGAGAAGTTCTGGAGTAAAAGATCCCAGTTTTTAACTCTTTTAAACCCTACATTTTCCAAACTTTTTAACCCCAGAACCCTTTTTAAAATGTAATATCCATAGAGCTAATGTTCTACAGAACACAGTTTGGAAAACTGATCATAGGATAAGAAACATGATTTATTATTTGATTTAAACAATGCATTTCATTAAGTATTTCATCAACAAATATTCCCTTTTTGGTGACTGACATCTACTAAAATGAGGTTCCAGAATGGTGTTCCTGGCCCACATGTTCAGAGAAAGAGTTCTGGACCAAAATTCAGGCCCTTTTCCACCCTTACAAATGGCCTTGGATTTAATCTTTACAACCTGATAAGAAACTCTCTGACCTGAGACCTACCCCCATTTCCACGTTGAGTCAAACACTGGGTTTGAGGACCACTGTACCTCTCACCCTTGTAATCTGAGTCAAATATCTGAGCTGCTTCTCTCAACTCCAGTGTGAAGATGAGAAATGGAATCATACAGCATTTGTCTGCTATGCCTCAGCTCTCATTAGATTGGCTGAGATGCCTTCCAAGCCTTCCAAAACCACCAAGGGTTTGTGCATTTTTGGAGAAAGCAGCAACCTCAGATTCTGCTAGCAGTCTGCTAGATTGGCTACTTAACTCTGTTTTTGAATGCCAGTCTACGGGTGTGCCACTACCTTTATTTTTGCTCTAGAATTTAGTGGATTTATATACAACTACCTCTTTGAGATCGTACTTTGAATCCTTTTGGGTATATACCCACTAGTGGATCATATGGTAATTCTATTGTTTTTTTTATAAAATGAAAACATGTATGCTGTTTTCTTTCTTCTTCTTTTTTTTTTTTTCAGTTTTTATTGATTTTTTAGAGAGAGAAGAGGGAGAGAGAGATAGAAATACCAATGTGAGAAACATTGATCAGCTGCCTCCTGCACACCCCCTACTGGGGATCGATCCCGCAACCCAGGAATGTGCCCTGACCTGGAATCGAAACAGGTCCTCCCAGTCCATGGGGCGATGCTCAATCCACTGAGCCACACTGGCCGGGCTGTATGCTGTCTTCTATAACAATTGCACCATTTTACATTTTCACCAGCAGTGCACAAGGTTTCCAATTACTCCACATCCTCACAACACTTATTTTCTGGGTTGCTGTTGTTGCTTGATAGTCATACATGGTTTTAATAGATGTGTTTTTATTGGTCTTAATTCTAATTTGAAAAAAAAAATTTTTTAAAAGAAGAAAAAGAAAAATATGTAACAACTCTTCATTAATCCAAATATTTGATTACCTGGAGCACATTCAAATGGTCTCCAAAGAGAAATAAGTCGTTTCTCCCGCATAAAAAGAAAGCACAGTAAGAACCAATATCTATAAATATGCAGTTAAGGGAAACTACATCCCCAAATCAAAATAAAACAAGTTAATTTTTTTGCAACTGCTTAATCTTTTATAGGAGCAAGATGACAAGCATTTAAATCTGTTTTTACTCAGCTATTTGTTTAAATAAAGGCATTGCACATTTAAACATTACAAACACTATTGCATACTGCATTATAACATTTAAAAATATTAAGCTGACTTTTTCAACTGTCTTAAAATTTTATTAAAATAAACACATTAGAATAAATGGTATATGTTCCCTGATACCCAAGGAATTTCTAGGAAGTTTTCTATTAGAAGTGTCTATTAATTTATAATAATGTTAGTGCTTTAAAACTTACAATGTACTAATATGCATGTTATTTTATTTAATTTTCCCAACATCCTATGGGATAAATCTTATTGAAAAAGTGAGATGCAAACAATCTGCCCAAAGATATATGCAGGGGTGGGCACAAGTAGGTTAAATTACCAACCATTATTACCTAAAAGATAAATCATAAGTAAGAATACAAAATAATAACAATAATAAGAAAAAATACCACATAAATAAATAAATAAATAGTAAGGCAACGATAAGCTGTTTTGCGTACTCACAACGGTAAACCTACTTTTGCCCTCCCCTACACTTATAAAGTGGTCAACTGAAACTCAAGGCAAAGTACTGTCTATTCAAATCCCTAGCTCTTTTCACTCTTCCATGAGAAAACATAGTTCTATTTGAATTAGTTTAGCTTTGAAAACAAATTTTTTTCACATCTTTTTGGGGTCTCTAAATACACAGAACACATTTTTTCCCCCAAGAAAGATTCAATTAATTACATTTTGGAGTGGTCCCTCTGTGGAAAGTTAAAACAAACATGCAATGCCAATACAGCCCCCAGCTGTGAAAGTCAACATGAAAACAAGGCATTGCCACACATCCAGATGCTGGGGGTCAGGAGCGCACATCCGCACAAGAGACTTGGCTTAGGGAAGGAGAAGGCTGTGGATGGGGACCAGTGCCCGGCTCTGGCTGTCCCCTCCCTTCTTCCTGCCTGCTATGCCTCAGATCTCATTAGATTGGCTGAGATGCCTTCCAAGTCTTCCAAAACCACCAAGGGTTTGTGCATTTTTGGAGAAAGCAGCAACCTCAGGTTCTGCTAGTGGTCTGCTGGATTGATTACTTAACTTTTGTTTTTGAATGCCAGTCTACGATGCTTTCTATCATAAAAGAAAAACTTTTAAATGCAGTTATTCAGTGTTGTATGAGAGGAGAATGTCAGCACTCATGACAAGGATGGAAGAGGCTCTGGGGCCTAATGATGCATGTGCGGATTAGGCGTTGCCACCTACCTCATGGCATCTAACCATCACTTTAAGTAAATAAATAAGTAAATAAATAAATAAAATGCATGTGTTGAATTTTTTATGGCAAAATCTGATTTATCCATAAGAGTTTTAAAATAAGATTGCCATGTGAGTTAGAAATTCTTAGACCTAACTCATAGTAGTTTTTTTTATATTTATATATTTTCAATAGTTATATATTTTCATATATTTATATATTAATATTTATATATTTTATATATTTATGTCTAGATATTTATAAGTTCACAAGAACTTATAGATATTTATTGTTATTTATACTATATTTACATAAATATATAGATACAGTGTGTCTACTGTGAGCCAAGTATATCTCCAAAATATGTTGAAAAAATCAATAATTGAGCAAATTTTTATGAACTTTGAAAACTTAAAGAGAAAGTAGTGGTTAAAAGCCTGGGCTTTCAAGTTAGAAAGACCTGGGCTTAGATTTTGGTTCTACCATTTATCAGCTGTGTGAACTTAGGCACATCGCTGAACCTCTTGAAGATTCCTTATTTGTAAAAGGGGAATCATAACACCTGCTTTTTAGGATTTTTGTGAGAATTAAATGTAAAATAATGACAAGCTTTGCACACTTTCTGGCACATAGAATGTGCAATATGTTGAAGCTATTATTAGCACAAAGCCTTGAGATCATTTCTCTTGGCATCAGGCCCTGTACAATAATCCTATTAATGTTGAAAATGTAGGTGATTAAGTTGAATCTATAATGACACTCTGACATAACCTGGAATTACATCTTTGAATAATCCTTGGGATCAGTCAGTTTATTTAACACCTGTCTCTAGGGTACAGGAAAATGTTAGTTATTTGAGCTTTCTAAACCTAGGGTTCCAAACCAACAAAACTTACTACTTATCCAAAAAAGATTTGATTCCATTTTTCTATTACTCAGAATGGTTGACAAGTTATTTTTGCTTGCATGGAGTTTACCATGCTCACATCTAGGTGGAAAGCAATATCCAAAACTCTTTCGGTCGAAAATGATAGAAATGCAACTCAGATTAGCTTAACCAAAAGGGAACATATTGGCTCCAATCACTGAGGACTTTAAGGGTGGATCTAGCTTCAGATGGTGCTAAATATTGCCAGAGCTCTGATTCCCTCTGTGTGTTGGCATCATTATCAGAGACCTTCCATGAAGCCTGGGGTTAGGGTTATAACCCAGGCTTATCTAGTTTTAGCTTGAGAGCCCAGAGAATAGGAGCTCCTCTCTCTCCTAGCAACTATAATTCGTAGAGAAACAAATTGTAGGGAGGATTCTTATAAAGGCAGGGTAGGTGGGGCACTATAGTCATCTCACTAGAACAACATGGCCCAGGGAGAGATGATTCCCAAAAGAAAATCAAAATCTGACTCCTGACAAAGGAGGATGGTAGAGTGAGCAGGTAAAACAACAGATGCCCATAGCAGATAGTTTGAGTTGGATTGTCTGAAAACAAAGACTTCAGCATGACCATCACATCATGGCATCCATTAAAATACGCACTATTTCATGGAACCACATAAAAATGTTTCAAAGGGGCATCGGGGTCGGGCATTCTTGACTCATGCTTTTTCCTCATTCTAAGTTCCACATGTGGTAAAAATCTTCAAAAAAAAAAAAAAAAAAAGAGTATAGTTATCCTCATCTGTTCTCCATATTCAGCAGTATGGTATGTGTGTAATTACATAAAAAAGGAAAATTCTTTCTCCATATTGAATAAGCAAATAAGACCATTAATTAATAATATGCATACAAGACCATTACTTACAATTACATAAAAATGAAACAAGGAAAAAAATCTCTCCATATTAAAAACTCAAATCAGGCAATTAACAAATAATAGTCTAAAAATGTTCCAATTTCAAAATAAGAACAAAAAAGTTAACATTATGTATAATGCTAAAACAAAATAAAACATTAACATTATTTGCATTTCAAATGACTATTGAGTCCATTTTTCTAAGTGAAACAGAATTATGTTTGCAAGGGGAAAAATGTCACTTTGAACATGAAAAAAAATACCAAAAAAAGAAAACCCTTTCCCCTTCATTTAGTCCCAAAGCTGAAAATAACTTTTAAACTCCTGATTTTATTCTTCAGCATCTTAGCATATAAGTGCATAAAATACTGATGGCTCTCAAATGAGAAGATTCTTGCTGAGACCTCATTGTGCTCTGCAAACATGATCTCATCTTTCAGCTTGGTTATGTTCCAAATCCAGGAGTGAGGGCAAGTTTATGATCAGGGAAGAAAAAAAGAAAAATATTTATATAAGCTCTATAATGCAAATTTTTTTAAAGACCAAAAAAAAAAACAAAAACCCATGTTATGTATATAAACTCTCTGAACTTAGTATATGGGGGTACCCCCCAAAATAAGGAATAGTCACAGAATATGGGGAAGAAGTTGGAAAAAACAAAGTCACTTTTTGCAGTGGAAACATGAAAAAGAATGAGATGACAGCGTTCAGGGATAGAAAGGGGGCAAAAAAATATTTTTTTTTAAAAAGGAGAATGAGATGAGTCATCTGAAGATCTCTTCCTGAGAGTGACACACCCTACACTTGAAACCTGATGATTGATGCCACTGGAGTGTCTTCCTAAATCACCAGGATATTGCATTTTAAAAAATCTCATCTGCCCTGGCCGGTTTGGCTCAGCGGTTAGAGCATCGGTCCACGGACCAAGGAGACCTGAGTTCGGTTCCTACTAAGGGCACGTACCTCGGTTGCAGTTTGTCCCCAGCCCCAGTTGGGGTTGGGTGGATGGCAGCCACTTGGTGTGTCTCTCTCACATTGATGTTTCTTCTCTCTCTCTCTTCCTCCCTCTTGCCCTCCCGCTCTATCTGAAGATAAATGCAAAATGTCCTCGGGTAAGGATGAAAAAAAACAAAACAAAAAACATGTAATAAACTGGCAACCTAGAAATGACATATTGCAATCATGGAAACTTTTGCAACTAATGAGCTGAACATCAAGACTTTTTGGTGTATCTCCAGAGCCTTATGACGGAGAATGGACATTGTATGCCCTACTATACATGGTAAGTAATTAGAACTACTTTATACAAATCAAGTTTTCTTCTAATATTCTCAAAATACTTTCTAAAGTTCTATCATGAAAGTTTTAGACCTAACCTGACCATTCTAATTTACCTAAATAGGGTATAAATGTAACAACACTGTCCTTTAGTGACCTCTAATATTGTCAACAATAACTAACTAACTAAATATATATAAATAAAGTGAGTAATAAGACCAGAGGGTTACAGATAAAACGCCAAGATCTGTTACCAGCTCTGCCACCAATTAGCTAGTTACTTAATACTTTTTTACTCTCCTTCGTAAAATACAGACAAAAGCATAATTTTCTAAGGAGGTGTATACACATTTAATCATAGAGAAAACAACCACTTACATGGTAAAAATCAAGTGAGCTAACAGCATGTACTTTCATATTTTTTAAAATCAAGAAAAATAATATATTGTGGTATAATATTTATTCCGTAGGCGTTCTTGAAACTCAATCTGTGATGAAGATCTAGAGATTATTTTAATAGCACGTGACTTATTCTTGTTTAAAGAAAAGATGTGGTTAAATGTTAAGCATCTCACTTCCACCTACCAAAATACAAGCTCCTTTTGATCTCGTTAGCTCACTTATGTATCCTCAACACCTTGAACAGAGCCTGGTATGTGGGAGGCACTTAAATCCTTGTTCAGTTGGTAAATCAAAGAACCATGGAAAATGGTTCCTTATGACATACTGTCAGGGCTCCTATTTCAGATCATCTACTGTTTAGAAGTTGTTAACTTGCTATTGCTTGGCATTCTCTTTAATCCTTCAGTAGTCTGTGGATCTAGCCTAACACAGGTAAGATCTGTTTAACTACTGTTTTGTTTTGTTAAATAAACTTATGTATGTACAGATTATTGTGCAATTTTAACAACAATAAGAAAGAAACAAAGATCTGAGGTTTTGACTCTACGAGGTCAAGATAACTAATTAAAAAATAAACTTTTAGGCTGGCTGGAGTGGCTCAGTTGGTTAAGCATCATCCCTTGCACCGAAAGGTTGCCAGTTCAATTCCCAATCAGGGCACATACCTAGGTTTTGGGTTTGATCCCCAGTAGGGGAGCATATGGAAGTCAACTGATCAATGTTTCTATCTCACATCATTGTTTTCTCTCTCTCTCTCCCTTCCTCTCTCTAAGCATGTCCTTAGGTGAGGATTAAAAAAAAACAAAAAACTTTTCATTAAAAAGAGTTGGTATTGCCCTGATTGGTGTGGCTCAGTTGGTTGGGCATAGGCCAGTGTACCAACAGGCTGCTGGTTCAATTCTTGGTCAGGTGGAGCACACGCCCAGGTTTTCGAGCTCGATCCCCAGGAAGCGGGGTATGGGAGGCAGCAGATTCATGTTGCGCTCTCACATCAATGTTTCTTTCTCTCTCTCTTCCTCTCTCTCTAAAAAAATCAATATAAAATATTATTTAAAAAACCCAAAATTATGGTCTTAACATATTTCAATTACATATCATGACCTTTATTTCTACGAAAGTACCTTCTTGTTTGGTCATTGCATTAAAACTACCTTAGTTGCCCTGGCTGGTTTGGCTCAGTAGTTAGAATGTCAGCCTGCGGTCCAGAGAGTCCCGGGTTCGGTTCCTGCTAAGGGCATGTACCTCGGTTGCAGTTTGTCCCTAGCCCTGGTTGGGTCGTGCGGGTGGCAGCCACTCGATGTGTCCCTTTCACATGGATATTTATCTCTCTCTCTCTCTTCCTCTCTCTCCTTCCCACTCTATCTGAACAAAAAATGGAAAAATGTCCCCGGGTGAGGATTAAAAAAAAACAAACCTTAGTTGCCCGGCTGGTGTGTGGCTCAGTGGTTGAGCGTCGACCCATACACCAGGAGGTCGCCATTTCTATTCCCAGTCAGGGCACCTGCCCAGGTTGTGGACCAAATCCCCAGTGGGGGGCATGCAGGAGGCAGCCAATCAATGTTCTC